TCAATCCATTTTTTAAAGATTTTAAGTGCCTATTCTGTACAGTAAATATTGGGTAAATGATTTTACATCATTTCATGATACTTTTGTGATTTATTTTCATTTTACTATTTTTGTTTTTAATAAATTCAACAGTATTTCTCAATTTTAATAACAGTGTTTCTCAATTTTAATAATTTAATAATTTTAAAAAATTGAACAAATAGGCTCTATTTATTTATTTGCCACCTTTTTGTTCAGAATGAATACCCAAGGCAGTTTACTATTTAGGGCAGAAAACAAAAGATGTGACAAAATTCAAAAAAGTACAGTAAATTAAAATATGAACGTTAAAAGCCTAGCAAAAGAAATGTGACAGTACATCCTTTCTAAGAACAGAAAGTGGAAGCCAAGTGTAACTTCCAAGAAAATACATTCTATAGTATAGTAAATAAGAATGCTGAACAGATATCATTCTAGATTGGTAGATCAAGGATTAATGAATTGTAGGCAATCTTGCTTTGCAGTGTTCTTCCTCTGGTCTTTGACTTTACAGGTATGGGCATATACTTTGTGGCTTCATTGCTGGAAAAGAATCTGAATTTATGGAAACTCTTACAGATTCTGAGGTTCTCACAACTTTAACTCAAATATTTCGTAAAGCAACAGGTAGGTGTTCTTTCTGAGCAAGTGCTGGATGATCTATAGCAGGCCTTATGCAATATTCTGTTAAAATATGGCCCTAAAGTTTCCACAATTCTACCCAATTTGGGAGGGAGGGAGGAAATATCATTCACCTTGCCTTCACTGAACATCAGTATTCCCCAATGAACTCTGTATTCTCAAATTGTTGGGAAAGGTGAGGTATAAATCCAATAAATGGCTAAACTAGAAAATAAAATATTAATTTGCTCTGCATTTGTTTCGATCAGGAAATCCACAACTGGCTCCTCCAAAGAATATATTGAGATCTAAATGGCATAATGAACCTTATACCAAAGGTTCCTACAGTCATGTAGCTGTTGGGAGCTGCGGAGAAGATATTGATGTACTGTCTCAGCCCCTTCCTCAGGAAACATCTGATTCCAAGGTAAGCATTATGGGTCTATAGCAATATGAAACCTTCCAACTGTTATCGAACATCAGTGAGTTACAACTAAAGGCAGAGCTGAGAACCATGGAAAGGGCATTCAAATACACTGGGAGAAATGGCTTTTTTCTACCTACTAGGTAAATAAAATTTTGACATCAGGAGTATTTTCAGAGGGACTGCTGCTTTAAATTTGCAAGGCTGGTTTGTAATTGGAGAGACAGCCCCTCAAATAATCAAACACTAAACCATTTAGAAAAGGTTTACACTGACACTTTAAAGTATACTTCAATGAGCAACCTATGCAGCTCCCTAGGTATTATCCCTATATCTTGTAGGATTGCACAAATCAGCTTACATTAGATTCAAATTGGTCATTCAAGATTTGAAGAGGGTATGACTCAAGTTTGTGATTCAAGGACAACTTAATTTGCTTCAAGTTCTTTCATGTTCAAGTTTTTTTTATAGCCTGAAATAAACTATAATGAGGAAACTTCAAAACATCTGAAGCTAGTTCACCTTTCCACAGAATAGGATGCTAGAAGACCTTACTCCTTCAAGATTAATCGACGTTTCAGTTGGATACCTCCCAGAATTTTACTGCAGTACACTTTTGAAGTATCCGTACCTCTTTTGGGGCAGATTTTAGCAGAATTAAGTATAGACCATCTGTTCCCAAGCTCTGGAATGTTACCCCTGAAATTTGCTCCCACCCTACTGGTATTTCAAAGGGCCTTAAAGACCTGGCTCTTTGCCCAGGCCTTTGGCAAGGACAGCTGATGCCCTGTTCCTCCTTTCTGTTCCCCTCCAGGTTTGTTTTCATCACCATCGTTATTCTTTGTCTTGTGCTGATTTTGTGTTTCTTATATTGTTACTTGTTTTTAAATGTTTTAACAACTGTAAACTGCCAGAGTCACTGGGAGCCGGGTGGCATATAAATTTAACAAATCATTATGATTATTATTAAACTATCCAGCAAAGAAGCAGGTTGAAACCAATGCAGAAAATGGTCCACCCTGGATTGTAAATATAAACTGCCAAAAACTGATTTTAAAACATAACCTCTTAATTCTTCCAGTTGCTTTCCTGGGGTACCAGGCTTGTCATAACTCTAAGGAATCACCACAACCTGCCCTTGTAGGATCATGTTTAATTCTCTTGGATTGGTGGGATTTCTTGGGTGCCAGATTTGGCATTGCTAGTAGGTGCATTTTCCACTCCTGGAAAGGATCCTCTCATCACCATCAAGATTCATTGGTGACAGAGTTATGACTTGCAGAGAAAGCAGAAGCAGGCTGGCACAGTGAGATATAACGCCTCAGGGATCAGGAGATCAGAGAGAAGCTAACACAGAAAAAAATGGCAGCCTTGCCACTCTACACTCTTAAAAAGAGTTAACTGTTGGGGCCCATGGTTGCATTAGACTGACAGACATTCTTAATCAAGACATTGAACCTGCCCCAACCATGCATAAATTTAAAAGATTTAATCCAAGAATGCTTGCTGGTCTGATCAGTGTTGAGGCCATGTTCAATGTGTTGAGAGCCAAGTTCAACTCCCATTTGCATTGGCAACACCAGCACAGAAGTGCTATTATTTCATTACTACAAGAGAGAGCAAAGTTGAACCCTCAGCTGGCCATATTAAAGGTGCTGGGATAATAAGTAAAGCCCATAGTAATGTTATCATTGGCACCTGAAAAGAGTTTGAGTGGACGAAGAGCCAGTGAGCTGATTGGCTGACTATTCTTGTCAATGTCAGAGCTCAGCATAATTATTCAACACACACACTTCTCCATAAACAGAACTAAAGTTGTCAAATTATATTGAGAAACTAAATACAACCACCTCAGAAGCACCAGGAAAACCATCAAATCTGTGTAGGACTTCAAAAAGTGAAGCAACACTTTGATTTGGTTCAATACTTTGATTCCCATTTCTATTTGCAAACCTTTTCAGAGGTTTATCAAATCACTAGCTGACACATCCTGATACTTAAAGACATGCATGTCAACTGTTCTACCCTTCACCATGACTTGGTTGTGTTAGGTGATCCAGGCTAGCGTAACATTGCTGTTTCTCGTTGCAGCTCCCCCAGGTTCTTTTTGCAGGAGAAGCTACACATCGCACGTTCTATTCTACTACTCACGGTGCCTTGTTGTCCGGCTGGAGAGAAGCAGACCGTCTCATCCATCTCTACGACATGCTTGAGTCTCCACGTGCTTCGCTAGAAACCAGCAGCTGAAACAGTGCCTTTTTCTTTGCTATTTTCTCACCAAATGTCATGAGAAGTGGTTATGGATACTTTTAATTAGTCTGATAAAGTTCCAGGAATCTTTGTTCTGTGAGTCAATTACTAGGAGCATTTTTGTCAGAGGATATGACAGTACTAATACCTCAACTGTATGCATTCAGTTTAAATTACCCTCTGCTTATGTCACTATTTCTACCTCATCTGCTCCTAGAATGCTCCTGAAGTCACTACATACCATGGAAAGTGAGCTGAGGTCTTTAAATACACTGGCTAAATTTATACTGTACATTAAGCCACAAATAAGCAAATAAATTTGGCTTATTCAGCCACTGATAAGAGCATACTAAGCCACATTGGGAATTATTTGGTTTTGGCTTATTATGTGAAAGAACCTGGTTTATAGCTTGGTCTGTTATACCAAGAAAGCAAAATGTGATGTTGTGATAAAGCTCTGGATTTGCATTATGTGAGAACCCAGCTACTGTATTAAATGTACTTTTTATGACATTCCCAATATGCTGCTGAGGCATATCCTGTAACAGAACAAGAAACCCTGGCTATAGGCTGCCTTCTCACACTGTGCTAAACATTGTCAGAGAGAGTGAGTGTTTGCTTAATGCACTACATAAATCCAATCAGTTCATCATAACTATGGTCTGTTTGAAACATCTTCAGATCATGGATTATAAAGTTGATTTCTTTGAAATAAGCTGTATTTAACATTAGCTATAATTATTTACCAGTACAAACTGTAGTTACTAAAAACAGAAGTGATCTGTTTTCTCATGGCTGTGTGGGAGGGAAGGGCTTGGGTATCTATCCTTGTTTTTGCATGGCCCTTATCCGTAGCAAATAGTTTTCTTAAACCAATTTACTGGGTTCATGTCTCCTCCTGAACCATACATTAACCACACAGGCTAAGTTCACACCACTTTGCTAGGATACAATGTGGCTGAGCCTATGGGACAGCTACACTCATTCCCCAACCCATCAGGATCACCAAATGCTCCTGAAAGGTTCTAAAGGTGGGCAGAAGAAATGAAGGACAGAAAAGGAACTGGAAAGTGATACTTTTGCAGTAAAACATAATTCATACATAGCATGTACATTTATATTAAGATAAAGGCACTCTCAAGTTGAGCTCAACCTCTGGTAACTTCAAGGAGGAATCCATGCATTCATTTGGCAACAGTATGGACCTAGTGATTTACTACTGCCTTCTTCTGGAACGCTTTTTGGCTCCTCTGTCTAGCATACGCTATTGAAATTTCCTGTTGCTCTTGCATCCAAGTATTAACTAGGCCTTCTTGACATGTTCTTACAACCCATTATCTGTACACATACACGCTGCCTTGGTCTTTCAATTTTAAAGACACTCAGGTATTGGGAGGATTGTCCACAGAGCTACACTCCTCTTTCCCACTTAGTGATCAGCTAAGTAATTTCTTACTAGCAAAGTTGATTGAAAGAAAATGTGAAGGGGTCAAATATATAAAATGTTCAGTTTATACCTGAAATGTGGTTTTGTTGCTTTTCCCTAAGCTGGCACATGATTATATTTTATAAACCAAAACCTTGTTAGAAATTCTGGTTTTCATAAACTCAAATTTGTAGGTGATCGTAATTCCAATGACATGGATAAGCTTTGGTAAAAAGGCCACATGTGGTGTAGGGAGTAAGATGGTGGCATATGTTTATCATCTTTTTAATATTTTATGACAGTCATTAGTTAACTTTACAACAATGATAATAAAGTTCTAAGTTCTTCTCATCATTGTCCACTCAGTTATAAATATGCAGCAAAGTCTTTTTATGCAAGGCTCAAATTCTTCAAAGTGTCCCGGATAAAGCTGAGAGCATATTTAGAACTGAATTCAGATTCTGCCACAAAGGACAGAAGAGAATGAGAATCCTCTTGCATTTATTCTCTATCAGTCCTTTTTCAGGACAAAAAGTCTTCAGATAGGTCTGCCACTCCAATGTTGGAGCAGATGTGCATTATATATTTGCTCTATCACATTTTTACACTTCTTAGCCTATCTATGGCTATGTTTACAAGACCACATTTTTATTTAGCGTGTTGTGTAAACCCAGCCAGAGTTTACAGTCCACATAGTATGATGTGTAAACCCAGGAAGTTGGGCTTTCTGTTACTCAGTTGTTAACCATGCTTAAGTGCACCAAACTTAACATAGAGTTGAACAGAGAGTTAAAGCAACAGGGATTCTCCACCTGATTTCAGGAACCATGGGCAATCACAGCCCTTACATCTCAAAAAAAAAACAGCTTGAATACCAATACCATCCACCGTGAGAATGTGGCTGGGAATTAATATGAGAAATCATGATTAAGCTAACCATGAACAAGCAGATAGTGCAAACATAGCCTATGGCAGGTAAAGCCAGATCGTTACACTCCCCAGTGTTTTAATAACAACTGCACATCTAGGGAGAGATGCGTCTCTTCAGCCTCAAGATGGATGCTGGTGCCTTTCTGAGGCAGTCAGGTGAGCTGTGCTGCCTAGGGGGCCCAGAAAGAGCTGCTAGTACCAGTTGGTGCAGCAGATGAGGTATCTCGCATCCTCCAGCGGGGCCAGGAGCCAGGCCTGGCAGTAGCTCTTGGGGCTACTGGCTTCCTTGGGAGCCGGGGCTGGCAGCGACTCTGGGCTGCAACCGGCATTTTCCTGGATGGGCTCCTCCTGAGTCTGCGTAGGATCCAATTCAGCTTCTGCCAAGGCTTGGCTGTCGGAGCTCATTCCGAGAGGCTGGGAGGGTGGAAAGGAGAGAATTACGAACAGGTTTTCTCGTAAGCCAAGAACCCACCCTGACTGCAATGGATGTTTTTCAACCCCAATGTGACCCAAATGCGAATCTGAGAGTCCCCAAATGGGGGGAGGGAGGAGGTATTTTTGCCCCGCCTTTTTTACATATATAATTCAAGACAGCAAACGTCCCTAATACTCCTCCCTCCTCCTGCTTTCCCCACCACGACAACCCTGCGAGGTGGGCTGGGCTGAGAGAGAGGGACGGGCCCGGCGGCTTCCGTGCCGAAGGCAGGCCCAGAACTCACCGTCTCCTGCTTTCCAGCCCAGCACCTGAACCGCGACACCAAACGGGCTCACACGGTAAAATCAAAGAAAACCCCGGCTCGTAACGTCTTCCTGAAGACACCTACTACGCCAAATGGGCTCAAGATGACAGAGCTGGTTAGCTTAACTCCAGCAGCGTCCGTTCGGACGACTCTGGCCCGCGAGGGCCGGGCGGGCACGAGACGCGGGGCAGCCGCCCTGTCCGGCGAACCCCACGTGTCGTGGGGACACGGCCAGAGAGGCGGGATGGACTGCGGGCACTGGGAAGCAACCAAGGGGCGCGCCCGGGCAGCCTCACCTCCTCAGGGATCCTTCTCCGCACTTCCGACCGCCAGAGGCGGAGAACGAGCGCAGCGTGGCCTCGGCCCTCCA